GTTGTAAGTCACTTTTTTCATGCCACCATAACTGAACAGTTGCTAAAGGAATGGTCATAAGTTAGGGACTACTTGTCATTTTCTAGAAAGAAAGGTCCTTGAATATTGGATCCTTTCTGTCACTGCACACAGATCTACCAAACTGGCATTCTAAATTCAAGTTCATGGTGTCATTATATTTGAGAGAGAAAAAATAATACGAATATTTGGGCATCTCATTAACTCATTTATTGGTTAAGCAACTGATAAACAGAAACTTAGTACAATTTAAATTTTTCAACTTTCACATTTGATATTTAAATCAACAATTTCAGACTATGATCCAGAGTAATAGTACTTGGGGCTAAAATCCAACTATTTTACCAGTAAAGTTTTGTTATGAAACACTGAGCAAAGTATTATTCTGTACTATTATTATTATATTTACTAGATTAAATGCTACTGTATAGTTAAAATTATATAATTATAGGTGAATTTAATATTAAAACAAATAGTTACCCCTTATGAACGTAGGTAGTAGCATTATCTGGCTCAAGATCAATACATTTATCATACATATCGTCAGCTTTGCCAAACTGCTGTTGGTCTGTTAATGCCTGCATGGAGACACAATAACAACATAGCTCATCCATGAATGAGTGTTTTACAACAGCCTAATAATAAATGAAATATTTTTATTATTAAATTTATATGCCACCCATCTCACTATCTAAAGCAACTCTGGCCATCTTACAATACAATAAAAACACAAATATACATATATTTAAAACATTAACATTAATAGGAATAAGATAAAATTAGGAATTAAATACCCAAGAGGTATGGAGGTGGGATCTTACTCCACCGATCACCTCCAGCATAAAGTGACCCCACTGGTGTACCAGGCTAATCAGCAAAGCCAGGTTCTGAGGCCCTTCTGGAAGGCCAGGAGTTGGAGGCATATCTCCCTTCCAGTGGCAAGATGTCCTAAAAAGCGGGGAATATCACAGAAAAGGCTCCTTTTCCAAGAGCCTGTGAGCTGGAATTCCTTGACTGACAGAGTCAGTAGCACACCCCTTCTGCCAGAATGAATGGGACAGGCCAATCCTATTCCTCAGGAAACAGAACTATACTATGAAGGGCTTTAAAGGTAATAACCAACACCTTGAATTGGACCAAGAAGCAAACCGGCAGCCAGTGCAGCTTGCATAACAGCAGTGTTACATGTGTCACTCTAGGGTCCTCTAGAACTGTCCGCATAGCTGGGTTCTGTAAAATTGTAGCTTCCAAATACTCTTCAAGGGTAGCCCTATATAGAATGCAGTGGAGTACTCCAAACAAAAGATGATCAGAGTGGGAGGAACTGAGCACAGGACTCATTTTTCAGGAAAGGATACAGCAAAGACTCTCCTACCCATGACTGCTCTTTGGGCAGGAGTCATTGAGTCTAGGAGAATCTCTATGTTGTGCATGGGTCTGTCTGGGCAGTGCAACCCCATCCAGAATGAAAGTTGCTAAACTCCCAGATCCCTCACACCTATAGCCACTCAGTGTTGGCGGAGTCCAGCTGAAGTCTGTTGTCCCCCATCCAGATCCCTTCAACCTCCAGGGATTGCAAAAGGGCAATGACAGTAACACTTGGGTCACTCGGGACAGAGATATAATGTTGAGCATCATCAGCACCCTGATGATACTTCATCCTGTGATGTCGGATGATCTCACCCAGTGGCTTTATGAAGATATTTTAAAAGACCATATAGACTACTAAGTACTAAGCCCATCATAAAGGAGCTGTGGGCTGGACCTGCTACGATTAGGACCGACCTTGGTAAAAGGAGCCAAAATCCCACTCTCATCTACAAATACGTTAAATTCTGTTTCTGACGCATAACCAGGTTTGAAACCCAATTGAAAGGGTTTCAGATAATCCATTTCATCCAGGGCCCCCTGAAACTGCCATGCTAGGTTCTCCTAATATAGTTCTTTAGTAATTAGCACTTGCATATATTTTGCATGATCCCCTACTCTGTTTTGCATGTAACATCTCTTACAAGAATATTTGGTACTGAACTGGTTCATGATAGCACATGAGATTTTTTAATAAGGAACTAAAGGAATTATGTACCTGGGCATACAATGCATAACCTTCAGCACACTTTGGAAATTTCTTAATAACATCCTCAAAACCTTTCATTGCTGCTTGTACTTGAGAAGTATTATTTCCAGTATAGGCTTGACGGTACTGCAAAGAAAAATAATTATTGAGTTAAAAAATAAAGCTTTAGTAGAAAGCCTACAAACTCACTCTCATGTATTTGTTAAGTGTAACTTCTAAACTTGCTACAAGTGATATTATTTTGCCAAGCTGCTTGTGAGATTACCTTACAATAAAGCCTAATAAACTTTCAAATACTCACCAAAGCAAAACATTTCTGTGCCTGTGCCAAAGCAGAATCTGGGCGCAAACGGATACATTCATCAAAATCTTCTACAGCTTCTTCTACACGGTCAAGCAAAATTTTTAGCTGAAAAAGACAAAAAAACTTCAGCATAATTCTATTAAATGAAAGTAAAATCACCACTGCAATACAGTTAAAACATATTGACTCAACCTGTATTACATGACTGAATTCTTCAGAACCCTAGCAGATTATATGTAGCATCTTTTTAATGTCATTAATATTAAACTTGTACCTCTACCAGGATACTGACGAATGTAGGATTATCACTTCAATATGCATAATTCAGTACACAGTTATAGAAGTTACCATTTAATATTTTCTGTCACGATTTTTCTTCTGGAGTTATCCATACAATGAAACATATTAAGGTGGAAGAATAATCTCTACCTGTCCTCTATGATGATAAACATCCGCGTTCTGAGGATCAATATCAGCAGCCATATTAAAGTCTTGAGTAGAGAGTAAAGGCTGTTGCTGCTGCATATACATACTTCCTCGTTTGATGAGGGCATTAGCACGAAGCTGTTGAGAAGAATTAAAGCTATTATGCATTTCTTTTCCTAAATAAGATATTTCAGTTTTATTACAGAAGTATCTCTTTGACAGTCTCTTTTTACATTTGAAAACTTCTTTGCACAGGTAAAATGTTAAGCCTCTTCTTTAGGAGTTTTTCCTCCCTGTCACAAACTGGCTTGCGCACAATGCTGGAGAAACGTATGCCCATTATTTCCCCAAATAATACCATCTCTAATTCATAGAGCTTCTACACCCTCGATTGCTAGTATCCCGCCAATGAAAATAGATACTCATTGGAATTAAAACACATCACACATAGTCTAAACCAGTAACTACAGAAAGCATATCAGCAGTGGACTTAGACTGATATACTTTACTGCAGTCAAGGGTCATCAGCAGTTACAGGATCTCCAAGAAGAGGCAGCAAAAAAGGATGATACAGCAAACAGAATTATTTCCAGGCCAGGAAAAAAGTGACTGCAAGATTTTATCAAAAGCAACATTTGAGAAATGGAATGGTTGAAGGAACTGACTATTTGCTACAATAAATATTGAACAAGAAACACTACATTCTGAATTTTAGAGCAAAAAGTTAATCCTGTTATACTCTCATAACTCTCATAGGCAACTCTAGGGGCAAAGTGGAAACTAGAAAAAAAAAAGTATTTTTCAGCCCACCGTAGAATATCTCCAATTGCTTGCCTAGGGCACAGGTCGGCAACCTGCAGCTCCGGAGCCATGTGTGGCTCTTTGAGCCTTCTCCTGCGGCTCCCAGCCTCCTCTGCAGAGAGAGAGACAGAGACAGAGAGAGGCACTTGAGCTTCCCTGCTCTCTCTTTCTCTGTGTGTGTGTGTAAAAAAGAGAGTTGTTCTCCGATGAGCTGACAAGCTTATTGGGTGGGGCTCCTCCCTTTGCTGCGTCTCTGCAGGAAGCAGGAAGGGCCGGAGAGAGCCAGCCCAATAATGTGTGTCAGCTTGTTGCAGAACAGCCTGAAGCCAGCTTGCCAGTGAACAGAAGATTGGAGAGAGGGGGGGGAGAGAGAGAGGAAAGAAAGAGAGAGGGAGGAAAGAGAGGGAGAGAGAGGGGGGAGAGAGAGAGAAAGAGAGGAAAGAGAAAGGGAGAGAGGGAGAAAAAGAGGAGAGAAAAAGAGAAAAGAGAAAGAGAAAAAAGAGAGAAAGGGGGGGGAGAAAGAGAGAGGGAGAGAAAAAGAAAAGAGAGGGAGAGAGAAGGAGAGAGAGTGTGAAAAAGAGGGAGAAGAGGGGAGGAAAGAGAGAGAGAGAGAGGGAGGAAAGAGAGAGGAAAGAGGGAGAGAGAGAGAGAGAGAGGGAGAGGGAGAGAGAGAGAGAGAGAGAGAGAGAGAGAGAGAGAGAGAGAGAGAGAGAGAGAGAGAGAGAGAGAGAGAGAGAACTCATGCACAGCAGCCTCTATTTCTTTTTAATTAAACTTTTCAATCAAGGTTCCTACCCCTTGTGCGCACGCGCACACAAGTTTTGCGGCTCCCAGTGTTTTTTTTTTCCTCTGGGAAACAGATCCATGTGGCTCTTTCAGTGTTTAAAGTTGCAGACCCCTGGCCTAGGATTATCAGAATTACAGGGTTGCCCTCAGCACACTTCTCATTGAGAGGGGAGGAATTTTTGCAAACTTCACATTTGCCCTAAACATTTGATCTCCCCTGAAAACCCCATGAAATAGAACTGGGGATAATAAGAGAATAACAGAATCAGTTTTCTTCTTGAATGTCACTATCACCACTAAGAAATGTGTTTGAAATCTATAAATGCTTACCTTTACATTTGCATCTTCCATAACAATAACCTGATTCAAATCAGGTTTGGCAGCATTTGCATTACCAATAAGTAAATAGAATGTAGCTCTTAACAGCAAGGCTTCTGCCATATATTTTCCTTTAGCTTCAATTTCTTTAGTACACTCACTAATTATTTTGTCATAGTTTTCTTCCTCCATATATTTCTTTGCCTTTAAATAGCCACAGCTAAAAGAAATATGTAAAGCAGTTATTAATACGCAAGAGAAATGTTTCTGTAGTTCTAATCAAATCATATACAAGTTCTTTGTGAAAACCCACCAAATAAAATTCTCTTTATATATTTTGCAATAGTATTGGAATGGCCAGATTCTAGTAATTCCCAATGGATATATAAGACTATGCTGAACCAAGAAATTCTAAATATGTGCAAATATGTCTGTTTCTACAAACTTTCTATTTATTATTATTTTATTTATTTAAAATATTTAGATAGCCACCCATCTTCTAATCAACTCTGGGCAGCTCCTAATCAAAAGGATTGGGATTTGGTTAATTGGGTAGCTCCCAATTAAAAAGATTGTCATATACATTTTACAGAGCCATATTCTTACCTTAAGCAAAACTAAGCAAGCTGAATTGCTTGTGCATTTGATAGTTTCTATAAAACTAGATTTCAAATATTCTGTCATTAACTTTAAAAACAAATTGTAAGTATTTGAACAATCATTCAAAATTATAAGAAAGTATTGTGTTTATTCCATTTGTTTTACTACAGAAATCTCCTATAGCAGGAACAATCTGATGTATTTTGAATTCACAATTCTCATAAGTCCTAAAAAAGCTCTGGATTCACAATTCCCATAAATTATGGCCCCCAGTTGGTTTAAAACAACAAACCACACCTTCAAACCTCAGCTTTAATCATTGTTAAGGCCAACAGAGATTATGGTGATAGCAAATGTATTTATGATACAATGCAGATACAACTATCGGGAGCACTATGTCCATACCAGCATATTTAATCAGCAATAAAAAAGGTATTTTACAGACCCAAAGGTGTTTTTTCAAAAGGCAACTGAACTTTTTTCCCCCTTGAAGACGTTTCGCTTCTCATCCAAAAACTTCTTCAGTTGCCTTTTGAAAAAGCACCTTTGAGACAATCGTAATTTGGATGACTGAGAATCTCCAGAATCTCTTTATAGTCACTTCAAAATGAGTTGGGTGACAAATAAATTTAATAAAGAATTAAATAAAATATCAAATCAGACAAATGGACCATTGTTCTTAGTACTGTATATTCTGATACGAAAAGTCTAGCATTTCAGTTAGAAGTTTCTTGCTACAGACTGAGTATCAGCTACAGGTAGAGAGCCATGTGCTATAATAGTGAGTTCCAAATTATGCATGGAATTTTAACTGAAGTGAATGGCCAAAAATGTACAATCCTGCAAAATTTGTGAGGGTAAACTTAGGAATTCATTTCTTCATACCCGTTTTCTTTTACTTTCTATTCCATCCCAGACTCTTTCCCATTCCTGAATTTTGTCTTCCCCACTCCTAACTATCCTAGTATCTCCTTGATGTAACAGCAAACAGCATAGGAGTCCCCAACTCTTGGGCCGTGGCCAGTTCAGAACCGGGCCGCACGAGCAGTGGGTGGTTGCGTGTCTGCCACTCACACAAAACCATCCCCTTTCCCCCCCGCCAGGCCAAGCTGGAAAGGTTGAGGACCGCTAGCATAGAAGACTGTCTAACCTCTCGCTTCTCCCAATTCTATAGGTGCTTCTTGGTCTGGAACACAGAGTGGGATTTCAACAGCCATCTCCTTTGGCATTGCCCAGTCCGCCGCTCTCCTCTGAAAATCAATTATCCCCCACTGAATGACTTTTCAGAGTTCTGTTATTAAATCTGGCCACAGTAAGCTAAACATAAGCTGCCTCTCACAGTGAGTGAAAGCTCTTATTGTATATCTACATAACCTCATTTCTCTTTCAAAAAATACAATAAATGGCAGCAAAAATAATGTGTTATATTTATGTACCATTGCTTAACTGCTCGGTCACTTACTTTTCTTTTATTATGGAGGCCTCTCCTTCTTTATCTTTATCTTCATCAGATTTCTCTTCCCTTAGAAGAGGCTGAGATATAATGTCATCTGTGAAAGAGCTGAAGTAAGATTTGATAAACTGTGGTGAAGGCATCAAGGGTTCCCGGTTCTACAAAAAGGCAAACATAGATAGCTTGAAAAAGGCAAACCAACCAACACTATTAAAGAAATAAACTATCAGATTATGTTCAGAATTTAGCTGTAAATATAGCCAACAGGATACTTTTTTTATTTCTAAACAGCCTGAACCTTTCTTCCAATTATTAGCTTTTTCATCCTTTCTGATTTTCTCCGAGCCCAAGATTCCATTCCAGTTAAGAAAGTGTTAAAGAAGCCATTCTCAAGAATATTCATTCAATTGAAATGTTTCTGTCATTATTTAAATCCCTGGTAAAAAGATCCTCTTTTTTGCAATATTGGTGTATTGACTTAACAGATATTTCTATGATGCACAAACTTTTAAAAACATGCATTGAGAGCTATTTCATTTAACAATGATCCTTTATATCCAAGATCCTACTAAAAATTACCTTAAGTTTATTTAAAAAGAATAATAACATTCTTTTCAAGTAGCCCTTTTCCATTTCTCTTCCATTTGTCCCTGGTATTGTGGTAAGCTCCAAGTTTTGGTGCATTTTTCTTCCCCGCAAAGCTACATATTGATAGTTCTTGACTTACAACCATAACTGGAACCGGAATCTTGGTCAATGAACAAGATGCTCATTAAATGAGATGTCACATGATTGTTCAGCTGAACTACCGCAATCCCTACCCTACCCTACCCTACCCTACCCATTAAGCAGTCTCGTGGGTTGTTAAGAGAACAGAGTTCCAGATAAGGAGCAGGGGATGCTTTGGGAGTGAGGGATGGGGAGATTCTAGGAGGCTCTGTTCAAGAAATAAAAATCCTTCCTGCTGAAATCCAAGCACAATTTCCAGTCCCTGAGTGAAGTGCATTGTCTTGCCAGACTTCTTTGTCCCACATAAGACCTCCGACAACCCTTACTTTACTGTGCTATCTCTCTGCTTAGATTTTCCCTCCTCTCGTCTTTGGGGGATGGCAGAAAGAGCTGCCTATCAAATAAATTCAGTTCTCCTCCACACTCAAAAGTAAAATCCTCCGATGAGGTGCAGGAACGAAATTCAAATCTTCATGATTGGAGCTACATTTCTGCACCCTGCCGAAGTTCAGCACATAGCTCTTTAGTCAGCTCCCAGAGATGAGAGAGGGAATCCTCTTGGCTGGTAGGACCTTCCTTGCTGGCTTCCCCATTGACTTTTTTGAAGCCAACAGAGAAATTCCAAATAACGATAGGATAAATATATATATATAAAATGCAATATACTGTGACAGATGGGAGTGCTTTATGAGTTACCATAATTCTGGACCATTGTTAAATGAATGGTGTTAAATTGAAGACTACCTGTATAGACTAGAGAATTTCAAATTGACTTCTAGTGTGGTAATTTTAAGTACTCTAGACTTTTGATTTATTTTAAATGAGACACTTCTGTTGAAATGATACATGTATCTATGTGTATCTCTTTTTATATATGTGGGATGCTTCTCATATACATACTTCTCATATTTACATGCATAAACTTGTGCCATGGCAGTCAACTGTTTTTCATGCCTTCAAGCAGTAATTAAAGGTCAAATTTAAATATTTGATAGCTGCAAAACACATTCTAAAACCTGAGTGTCATTTTAGTGACTTATAGTACATAATCAAAAGAAGATCTGAGTTAATAATACTCCAATTTGCTCATATGAATTCTATGACATTTCATTGATAACATTAATACTACAAAAAAAAGAATTGTATTTTGAATATTCTTGCAACTTTACCAGCACAGCTATATTCCTGTAACCATTTAAGAAAGCTAATGCTTTATCATTTATTATATAGAACAAATCATACCTTATATTTCTCTTTGGCTTTTTCTTTCCCAAGAAGTTTAAGAACTTTATCAGCTAGCAACATACTTTGCTGATTTTGAAAGCCCTCTAAAATGCAAACTGCAGTAACATCTGGAAACATAAAAGAGAAATTTCTAATCCATTAGTTCTTGAAATGCTACCTAGGGAACGCCTACCAAGTACATTTATATCCCACTAAACAATTAGCCTGATGTTAGAGATGTCCAAGGCTGAGCCCAAGGGAAAGGTCAAATGTATCATTAGTCTCCAGTCCATTTGTGTCCACAAGAGATCTAAGCCCAGCTCACCTTGAATTCCATTGATTCTTACCTACCACCAATTTGCTTTGACCGTTAGTAGTTCAGATTCTTGTAGAGAGCTTTAGCATACAATAAACCTGTATATTCATTTGAACTGCCTGAACTCCTGATTTCCTGTGCCTGACACCTATACAAATTTTATTCCCAAATCACCCTCTCCAAATTCTCACATCATTGGGTGCTTGAAGAACAGACTTTTTATTTAATGTTTAAACAATCTTTCTGTTTAATAATGATAATGATACACGTACAGAATACTCACCTTCTAAACATTCTTTTTTGTTATCTAGTTTCTCATGTGCTTTTGCACGCCTAAAAAGTGCTTTCACATATCTGGGATTAAGTTCAACTGCCTTTGTGCAGTCCTGGGCCACTTCTTTCCATTTTTGCTGTAGATACAAAAATAACTAATTAAAGAGAACCTATTTCCTCAAACAACAACAAAAGTAATACCACTGTAGATTTCTAATACTTGAAGCATAACTATTATACTGTTTTGTTTTAGCTTTCAATAGAAAAAATATATGGAATACAGCTGCTTAACTTACTCAAAACCTTTTAAAATATATATGCAAGTTATAAGTTATCAGAGAACACTTCCAATGAGAATCCAATGAGTGTTATTAAATTATGTATATTATACAGGTAATACTCAGTAATCATTCTTCAGTGACCATGGCATTGAACAAAGGGATTTCTGACTGGTCCCTGAGATTAGAGTAGTTG